CTGGAGGACAGAGCTCTGCACCTGCACCATTAAGGGAATCCTCTCTTTGACATCATACAGAGCCAAGTGTCGAGTGTTTACAGCAGGTCGGCTTACACTGACCTTAATATTTGAACCTTTAGCCACGTTTAATATGAGAATCCACCAGTGTAAAAGCATACTGGTCCCCAGTAATTATAAAAGTAAATGTCAGGGTTACATCAGAAAGAGCGTCACTCAGAAAAGCTAATAAATCATAAATCTCCACACCTCTAAAACAGAATCTAAAGGTTGACCTCATTTTGTGTCCTGCACTAATTAATATTTGGGCAGTCAGACATCAGTGCATGCTAACTTAAAAAAAAAAAAATCAGTTTTGGCCCTTTTCACATTTTAGATGTGATGTTTAATAAAATATAATTCGACTAAACTGCAAAGTCCTAAATGAATATTAATCTCCACGCTGGTTACAGATCAGAGAAGCCCATGTTTGAACTAGCCGGGAGAATCTGTGTCAGTGCATTTAGTTTGTTCATTTCTGACATAACTTTATAAAAGGACGCTATGTTTTATTCAGCAGCAGAGTGTCAGGTTGCCGGGTTGTGACAGCCAGGCTTGTGTACTGATTGAAGGCACGACTCAAGCCAGACCCCGTCATGATAAACATCCTCTCTCTTAATCGGCCTCCGTTACCTCTTTTATCTCCTTATTTAAAGCCTTCTTGCATCTACGTGGTTTCAGTTTGCACGGAGACATCTTACACCTACCTATCCAAGGAGTCACTATTTAATTCGTCCCGATTCAGTGATTCGGCCTCGTTTCGGAGGTTGATTTTTGTCCTAATATGCACACGATTCACATTACCCAGCATCAGTAAAAGACTAAACACCTTACAGTTGACAGGCTGCATTTTATTCTCCTGCTTAAAAGATAATTTGAGGAAAAATAGAGCATCCATAAATCAACAATGGCCCCGCGTGTTGTCTCCCCAGACATTGGTCTGGAGCGGGCTCTGTGGATTAGAGACGTGACAGACCTGGTTAATGGAAGGCAGTGCCTGGACCCTCTCTCCTGCAAGTCTGTGTGATTGAGTATGGAGGAATATGATTAATGATTCAGAGGCTGAGTTTAAATAGTCAGTGCTTTGGGGTTCTGCCCGAGTGTATTTTAAACCCCTCATGGAAGAAAATGGAAAAAATATTCCTGTGGCGAATAAATTATACTACTAATAATATTTGATCTCTTACTGCAGCTCTTTGTTGTACGTTCTACCCAGATTTCTGTTTCTGTCTTTATCCATTGCTCCTTAATGATGGTCGTAACCTCTCAGTCATATTAGTACCTCGTGACTGTGTTTTGAGGTATTTTTTTAATGAATTAACCTCAAATTTACTTGTTTGAGGGTCTACAGCTCTGCCTGTGTACACAAGCTGTTTTCTTTCCCTTTCCATTTTTATTTGTTGAGGTTTTCGTTTGTCATCAGCATGACCATTGCATATTATTAAGGTTATAATAGACATAAAAATTGAATAAGATTTAAACAGAATAAATATTTTGTATTTTCCTTTTTTCCGTCTAATCTTTCAGCCAGTTTTTAATAAAAGATTGTGAATGATGATCGTTAGTGTAATCAGTCAAATCTGATCCCACTAAAGCCTGATAGAGCTCATTCGCATGTGTCACAGCACTCGATTTACCATAAACTGGTAGAAACATTCAAATGAGCCACTAAAATAAGCTGACATGCTTTCCTATTAATGACAAAAAAAACCAACATAAAACCCCACTTTATCAGCAGCAAATAAATATATGGCCTCTATCAAATACACTATTTCTTGAGTGTTTAGGGAATCTTTCGACATTCCTACTTTGGACATCCACAGACGGAAGGAATGACATTTGTGCCACAGACAGGTCTGAGAAGTTGAAGAGTGATCTCACACTGATAATGGTCTGTTTGTGGCATTTGTTGTCATTAAGATAAATGTTAAGTAATGCTGGTCTTAACCTTGAAGCAATAAGCCAGTGATTGGTGTCAGACTAACTTAATCGCTTCCTTATTTCAGTAACCGTGACTAAAACACACTAACGTGCAGTCGTTTTAAAAAGAAATCATCCTGTTTCATTCCTAATGATCAAGATATAGTCGATCTAGCCCTTAACAGATTTTAAAATAAGGTAAATAAACCTCAGATGATCAGTCACGGATGAAATATCACACCATGTCATTCATTTAACAATAACGAAGACAAACTGGAGAAGCACTGTGTCAAAAACTAAACGCCACTTATGATTCGGTAGTTTGTAGAGACACCTTTAGCAGAAGTAATTTAAAGTAATTCTTTTTTTGTATTACTTTATCAGTCTCTCACATAGTTGTGGAGGAATTTTGCCCGCTCTTCTGTACACCATAGCTTCAGTACTTCGCAGGCATTTGTTTATGTACTTTCTACTGTCTCTAAAGTTCCCAGCCTTTCATTCAGGGAGAGGTCTGGACTTTGACTGGCCATCACAGCACTTTGATTCTTTTCTTTTTCATCCTTTCTGCAGATTTGCTGCTGTGCATTGTGCATCGGGCCAAGCATACTGTAATTTATTGTTTATATGTCTAAGCAAAAACTCCTTGGAACGTCTGCAGGTTGTTCAAACGCCGCAGATAGACTTCTGACCAAATCTGCTACGTACTCGCATGTGACACCGTTGCTAATACAGCTACGATCTGTGGACTCTGTGGATCTGTGAATTGCATTTGTCTTACTTTTTGTCTGTGTTGCTTTAAATGCCCTGGATTTTTATTTTTATTTTTATTTTTATTTTTTTTGTGAAACACTTTGTGATTCTTGTCTTGAAAAATTATAAATAATTTTTTGCCTTACTTACTTACTTAACTATATAAAGGACTTCAACTCAATGACTGCAATGCACCCGGGTCCTGTGGCTGCAAAACAAGCCCAAATCATTACCCCTCCACCACCGTGCTTGACAGTCGGCATTAGGTGTTTGTGCCGATATGCTGTTTGGTTTTTGGCTAGTGTGGTGCTGTGCATTATGGCCAGCCATCTCCTCATTGGTCTCATCCATCCAAAGGACATTGTTCCAGAAGTCTTGTAGTTTGTTCAGATGCAACTTTGCAAACCTAAGCTGTGCTGCCATGTTCTTAGAAAAAAAAGCGGCTTTCTTCTGCCTTCCTATGCTTCTTTATTGTTTTCCTAATTGTAATTTCATGAACTTTAACATTTAACACGCAAACTTAGGAATTTAGAATCTGAGATGTAGTTCTTGTGGGTTTTGTTTTTTGTAGTGTCTGGCCTTGGGGTAAATTTGCTGGGATGTGCACTCTTGCAAAGATTGTAAACTGTCTTCAGTGTTTCCCACTGGTGAATAATCTTTTTCTAACTGTAGAGTTATGGACTTCACATTGTTTGGAAATGGCCTTTTAACCTTTCCCAGATTGATGGGCGGCACCAGTTGCTTCTCATGCCTCCTTAGCATCTGACAAGATGTTCTGCTTTCATAAAGATGCTCACACTTGCTTAGGCTTAGGCTTTCTTAGGTTTTCAGAAACTGTTATATGTCTTGTTTTGTAATTTATCTGAGGTTATATTTACCTAATTATAAGACCAGCTAAGGACTAGATGTTTTTATTATGTCTTGATATGTAAAACCTTCAAATTGAAGACCGTGTTGTGCTTTCTTTGTGCTATGACTGTATACCAGACAAGAATTTAGATGATATTTATTGTTGCGTAGTCTGTTGTCTGAATATAGAGTCTGCACAGTGGGGACTCTGCTAATGTGTCGGATTAGTTGTGATTAAGTATAAATAAGGGGTGGAAAGGAGAGAGTTAATGTGGAAATTAATAAGCCCTTTCACATTCCTCCCTCTATGACTTTCTAGCTGTCTAGATAACACTATTCCCCGCTGGCACCTGCTAATGTCTTGTCACTACGCAGCCTCCTTACGGGATTGAGCTTGAGAAAGTAAATCTGTCAAGCTCTTAGAGATGGCTTTAGCATTTTAAGTAGGCCATACTGACACTGAGACTGTCATAAATCAATCTACTGTATTAATTGTAGGAAAATCATTAGAAGTCATTATGTCTACTAACAAGACATATTTCACCATCTGACTGTTGACTCTATTTTATGATGACAAAGGACAGTGTAAGAGGTGAACAGAGTAAGCATTTTTCCTTTATGATAAATCATCTTTTTCTATTACTATTTTTCTATTTTTTTATGTCATGTCTAAATATGCAAATGAGACCTTATATATTTAATGTACCAGAGTGCATAATTCCCCGTAAACTTTGGTTAAAGTAAGGTTAAAAATTCTAGTTTCAGCTTGTTGACATTCCAAACTCAAAGGTTTGTAACACTTCATAAATTAGGAAATAACCAAGTTTTAACTGATGGACTAACTAATATAGATCTGGTACTTTACTGGTTACTCAGGTATTTTGTGCGGCTGTCCAATGGTAAATGTGTGAAAAAATAAATCTAAATGTTGTCTGAAAGGACAAATTAATGACTTACACATGAGAAAACTTGTTTTTTTCCTGATGTCTTGCTTTAAACAAGAACATTTATAGAAACTGGATTGCTAAGAATATTATTTGCAGCTATATCTTACTGTTTTATTACAAGAGAACTGCGTGTCCAAGGAGAGAAGCATCCTCTCCGTGCCAGCTGCCACCTTATCCATGCACAGATACACGCAGTAGCGCTGTTCTAGTGAATAATGCAGTTAATAAAGCAATCTAGTTAAGCTAGGTGACTGACATGCATAACGCTTCAGTAGATTAAAGGCTAAGAAGCATAATGAATGCAAGACAATGCCACACGTCTCAACTAAACAACCGAGCAGTCAGTTATAGCCGCAGGGCTGCAGCTTCATCAAGGTTTGCTAAACAAAATGCACAGGAGAAAAAAAAGAGTTTTAAAAAATCAACTTTACAGGAAACAATCAAGAGTTCGTGAGACTAAAAAGGATTTCTATGTTATTCTGTTTGCATCTGCAGGTGTTCTAGCATTCCTAGCACTGCCAGCAGGAATGGTGTCATCAGCACAGGAGCTGTACCTCAGCCACACATCCCAGGACTCTGTCTACATGGCAGTCACACACAGCAGCCCCCTGTCCTCGCCCAAACCTCCACCCCTGGACTGGCATCAGGAGGGGTCGAGTAGCGGGGAATGGTCACCCAAAGGCATGCAACCCACAAATGCCCTCCTTCCTACGTCTGCTCTTCCCCCTTTACACTTGCATCGGCTTGCCCAAGCTTCCAACTTAGCTCGTGAGGATCCTCCCAGTTATGACAGAGTCACCCCAAACACTGTGAGCACTGGCAGTCATGTGAATCACCCCAAAGAGCCCAGCTCTGATGTTGTAAACAGAAGTCTCATGCACAAATTGGTCAGGGCCCATAACCCAGTTACAGTCAGCACTAACCAGGCCAGCAGCAGCAGCAGTCCTAAATTTCCTAATGCAGAGAGGCCAAATATAGATGTGGAATCTGCTGCTATAGGGGCCCCAAACCCCCTAGCACCTCTGTCCAGCTCTGGAGCAGAAAAAGGGGATGCACTCGATGCAAACCACACAGGGCCTCAGAAGCTGAGTGTAGAGGAACTCGGGCAGCGGTATGCTCCACGCCTGCAGCCCCCCTCTTCACTCTCAGTCGATGCTGATGCTGCACGAGGCCTGAAACTCAGGAATCACGCTGTAGGATCCCCGCACCACGCCATCACCCTTCGCGAGGTGCATGGAGTGGACGAGCCCCCCACTGCTCAGTTGGTTGTCACTGTCAAGAGCCCACCACAGATTCAAACTTTCACTGCGTCCAGCGCCCCGTCCACCGTGACGGGCGTCACAACACAGAATTCAACACTCACGCCAGCCACTCGCACTGCAGCGAACGACATCCCCACTGTGGAAAGTCAGTCTCAAGGTTCTGTTCAAGGTAACAGCACTGACCTGCTAGGGAATGCAACTGCATATGGGGAGCACTTCTCCAAGAGCACATCAGTCAAGATGGAACAGCAGGCAAACAGCTCAGAGCCCACTTCCACAACCAGCGGGAACTTCCAGATCACACAGTTGCCAATCACCACCCTGACACCTGGCCACAACCCAGGCACTGCTATCGACTCCACGTCATCCCAAAAGGACATCTGCTTTAGCAGGATGGCCATTGTGTGGATCGTGCTGGCCATCAGTGTGCTCGTGTCCTCGTGTTGTAAGTAAAACCAGAACAGCTTGGAAAACAAAGAGAGTCACATTCTGTCTGAAAGAAATGGTTTGGTATTTAAAGAACCTCAATCGTCTGCTGCACTGCAGAGAGTTTATACCACCTTCACACTTGTATATTTAATAAGAAGCCACAGAAGCCACCGTGTAGTTTCATATAAAGAGTGGGAAGAAAAAGGAAAATGGGCTTAGTTAGATAGGCATATCTAAGTTAGTGGGTTTCCCTTGTTTGGTTGTGGCTTGAGATTCATATTTAACCTCTTTACATTCACCTGCTTGTGGTGACCTGTTTTTTATCGATTTAGCTTCCACCTTCTTTCATCCAATTTAAGTTTACGCATGCCATAGTTAAAAAGTTTAAGAAAAGCTGCATGAAAATCATTTAAAAGGTAACATCTTGTGTGTTTTTTGGTTTTTAATGTGCTTGTGCTCAACCCTTAATGGTTTAGCAGCAGCCTATGTGTTAATCCTCTCATCTCACTATTGGAAAAAAATGACACCGCACCAGGTCACAGTATTTTATATTGTAGATCACATTGTTATAACACATGCATATTTTAACCATTATTAGTAATTTTATTACATTTCTGAAGTGAGTTTAATTCATTCTTAAGTTTTGACTTTTCTTGTCTTCGTTTATCTCAGTCAGCTTCTAGATTTCCCAGAATCCCTTTTGACAGCCTCCAGTTACACTTCAGGGCCGTTCCTTATGAAATTAATTTGGTTTAAAAGGTTTTCACTGGTGAAAAGCTATTCCACCCAAGGCAAAATATAATTTTGTGCACTCCAGTCCACTGAAAATGAAGTACTTTTACTTTCTGATTCCTGAAAGCCTTCTCGTATATTTTCACCGAACGACTGGCAGCTCAGAATTTGCAGTATTGATTTCCAACTGCAGCATGTTGTCCTGAAACATGACAGGCTCTTGCCGAGCAGCAGGTGTGGGTGATTTCAGAGGCTTTTTGAAGCAGCAGCTATTCCCGTTTCTGTGCTGAGCCTCGTTTTTTTTCCTCTGCCCGCTGTAGCTGTGCTGTTGACTGTGTGCTGCATGAGGAGGAAGAAAAAGTCTTCAAGTCAGGAGAACAACCTCAGTTACTGGAACAACGCCATCACCATGGACTACTTCAGCAGACACGCCGTGGAGCTGCCCAGAGAGATACACACTCTGGAGAGTGAGGTACAAACTACTGACACTGTTAGGCTGCCTTTCTGTTACTGCTCTGCACCGCACACACTTAAAGAGGCAGCACATTTACTTGATGTTTCGCTATCAGTCAGCAGAATGCATTTAATGAATATGGAAACAACAAGAGGATCCATGTCCAATCTCCCCTGTCAGCAAGCCCCGAGGCCTTCTGAAGCCACTTGAGCATGACGCTGTGCCGCTGCGATTAACGAGGATGCTATTTGGAACAAGCAAAAGACAAATTTTTCCTCAGGGCATCTGATTCTTAGACAGTTCTTCACATCAAGTATTCACTTAAACTTACAGCAGCAACTGAATCTCATAGACTGGCTTCAGTGTTGATATACTGAGTAGTCTTTACTGATACATTATTAGTAACTTGGTATTAGTAATCAATAAACCTCAGCTGAGTCTGGTTGAGGATTTTTGACTACATAAAACAAAATCTTTGAAGCAATGATGCGTTTATATTATTTTAAAAATTGCTTTACAGAACAGAAAAACACATTTAGGCTTCACAGATCAATAAAACAACAGCTGATGAGGTCTGCTTTTTCATTTTAAAAGGTCTGTATCATCTTCTTGCGGTAAATAACATGTCTTCCATATCTTTCCTTCTCCGTCATGTTACGTATTTTATGTTTTTCTGTGAACAAATGGATAATCCAAGCTAAACTTTGGTCTCTTTAATTCTCATGTCGCTTTGAGCTCTGGTAGAAATCTTCTGAACCAAGAAATTCTACTAATTGGCAGCGTTTCCATTTACTCAGTAAATTCACAGCTTAATCTTTCAGCACATGTGTTCCCACTTATTTTTTGCTGTAAGTAGCTTTGGGATTGGTAAAATCATCTTGTTCCCAACTGTATTATATCATTTGTTTAAAATAGTGTTCTGGCATGAATTCAGTCTTTATTCATTCCAAAACAAATCACATAACACAAGATAAAGACAAATCTGGATTCTTCAGTATTGACCTCGCGGCGTCGTCCATAAGCTACATGAAGTTTCCGTAAACTCACTTTCGTATAATTCGTCAGACATTGCCTATAAATATAACAAGATGTCCAACATATTTGACTTAACATTTTTATCTGACACTTTAAACTCTTTAAATCCTGTGTATCCTCTTTGCTTCTGCAAATCATTATATCTGATATCACGCTCCACACCAGAAGCTCCCAGGTTTTTAATAAAGTGATATGAGGCTTTTACACTGTAAAATCTGCAAATCAGGTCATTTTTAAGCTACTGTCTCCCACTAATTAGAAATATTCTGCACTTAATGATGATAATTTTACACACATTCCCCTAATCGTGTGCTTTTTAAAGGGGGCTTGGAAACTTTTAGGCAGCATGCAATTTTATTTATTTTATTTTATTTTATTTTTAACTAACCCATTCATATTTATGCAAAACTAAGACTTTGTAGGCTCAAGTCCAGCTCAAAGCAGAAAGTGTAATATGTTGTTTTTAGGTGCATGGCAGCGCCATCTGTTGGAAAAGATGGGATATAACAGAGGCATATTATACTCTCTCTGCAAATTCCCCCCTCTATTCTTTTTAACCGTATATTTTTATGCACCATTGCTTGCTCTCTTTGCATGTTTATTATCTTCTCTGTGTGTTTCCTTTATTTTATTCCTCTGCCTCCTCAATTTGCATTCCTTTGCCGCCTGTCGGAGGTGTCAGGAGAGGGAAGCTGAGGATCGTGTGTAGGATGCCCTTGGTGACACCCAGGTGTTGTTTACAGCTTTGCACGTGTCCGTAGAGCAGAAGCCTCGTACTGTAGCCTCCCTGGTGCTATAGGAAAATGACAGAAATGACTGTAAACCTGATGATGGTGATGGTGATGATGATGGTGTTCCTGTAGTTCCATGTGATTGGATGAAAAAGGACTTTTTCAAAACGACCTCCTGCACCACCTCATTACTGCTGACTCACCATCACCCAGCGCACTTAGATTAACACCCTCTGCTGCCTTCTTCTGAGTCATTCTCCCTTTTTGTTCCTCCACTTGTGAGGCTCTTACATCTTCCCCACCACCTCCCCTTTGTATCTCTGATCGCTGAGCTTTTTTCCACATATCTTTGTTCACCATCTCCTTAAAAGCCCTGATGTGCACAAAACCCATATTTTATCTGTCCTCTTCCACGCTAAACTTGCTGCTCGTCGCCTGTAGAGAGACTCAGATACAGTAGCTTGTGCGCTAACGGTGAGCCCTGAAGCGTGAATCATGAATTAGAGCTGCTGCTTAACAGTTACACCTCCTTTCCTTTTTTTCCCACTACGTCTTATTTTGTGCATGTACTTTTTGCAGGATCATGACACCTGTCTACCCCCCAATGGAGACTACAGCGGCAGCAGTGTGGTCCTGGTTAATCCTTTCTGCCAGGAGACCCTCTTCATCAACAGAGACAAAGCTTCTGCCATATAGAGACACAGAGGGGCGAGAAGCTCTGCGGATCCTCGTCCTCCTCTCCCCCTGCTGTTCTTGTCTATTTTATATATGTGGTAAATATTCAGAGACTTCGACTTTATACTGTATATCACAAACACAAAGAGCAACCTGAAAGAAGCGCGGCGTAAACAGACGCTTATTTACTACGAGGATGCACCTGCGTATTTTTCTGATGTACATTTTCTACAAAAGGCTTAATTGTGATAAAGGTTTTTATTGTCTTTATAAAATTACAGAGTATATGTGGTTTTGTTTCTTTGCAGTGGCTTGATGGTGAGTGCACTGTGGATGTTGCCACACAAAATCTGCTTTAGAGAGAGACACATGTGCTATAAAAAAGATTAAAGCTGTTCTTTGTAAGTTTAACTTTCCTTTAAAATCAATCCCTGAATACTTACAGCCTGCTGAACTTGAATAAGCACCTAGATAAGTCGGGGGGAGGAGAGGCAGGGATATGTGGAGGAATAATGGTTGTGAAATCTGAGCCTGTATTTATCAAACTTACTAAAAATGATCATTTAGAACTAAAAGTAAAGACTGGCATTAAAATGACTCAACCCTTAAGAGTGGCTTTCAAATGATCAGTTTGCTCAGACTAGTCAGATACACAGATTGACCCGACAACTGCAAGATTTTACCCAGTACAGCACATTTTAATATTAAAAATGTATGTTCTTTTATCTGGGAATTTTCTAATTAAGAAGATGATTAAACATCCATCTATTTTTTTTGGCCATTTATCCAGCTCAGGTTCACTGAGAGGTTGGAGCCAGTCAATCACAGGCCTAAAACACAGAGACAGACAAGCTTTGCCAGGTATCGAGGGGACTAGGGGGTCTGAGGGGACGGTGTAAAGCTGTAGTGGCATCCTGGTTATTAAACATACACAAAATAAAACATTAAAATTAATTTGTAGAGTCAATACGTTTCTATTGTGAAAGTAAGAATTAAACCTCACGGTCACAGTTTAAGCAAAGCAATAAAAACTCGCTAAAGTGAAAAGATGTTTCTGGGAGCTGGGCCCTTTATGAATTCACTGATTCACTTTGGTTTTTAAAAAAAATATTATTCTAAACAGAAATTTAAACATTAGATGAAATCAGGTATACAGCTGCTACACTTTGAGGTACATCCTAGGAATTATATCCCAGCTAAGGGGCTTTGACGCAGGCAGCAGTGCGTGATGATTCCAAACACCTTAGCCTCAGAAAAACAGTCAAAAACAGTGAAGACCGGAGCTGTGCTGTGCAGCAGACAGTGATAGCATGGAAACACACAAGTTCACCAGTTCTGCAGTTCGTTTTTAGGTGAATTTTAACCCTCGGCAGTTTGATAAATACAGGCTTGGATCTTATCGGTCAGTCTAAGCAGGTCTTTGGGCGATGTGGAGTCCAGCATCCAGCAGTTTTGAATAGCAGCTTTCAGCTCTCAATAAAAAAATGGAGCGGACTTAAAATGGCCTTCCCCCCTCATGCGTCACCAGCTTCTCCGAAGAGGGACCACATAGATGTCTTAATTCCTTACGTTGGCCCTTTATATATCAGTATGCGTGTGCATGTAGGTGCACTGAAGCGTGCGTGTGAGCAGGCGAGCTGCGACGTGCCGCCCCCTTTAACCAAATGTCACGGTTACTTTAAAGTTTAATTGAGACTCTGCGCGACGTTCAGCTCAGTTTTTGTGCGTCCGTTCCTGTGTGTGCCTCTGTTTGTCCCGTCTGTTTGTCTCTCGTGTATATCGTGGAGTAGCTACCGGTCATGTGAGAGAAAGAGTTCCTCGCTGCTGTTGGAAACATTTAGACCACCTTGCTACTGTAAGTGTCTCCCTCCATAGACGGCGTGTTTATCCAGTATTGCAAACCGTGTCAAAGGCTGTGTTAGAGGCAATAAAAACAAAAAATTAAAAATATATATATATATACTGAGACAAATGAAGAATGCTGTGAGCACGTACAGAGGCGATTTAATCAAAAGTGCGTTTGGATATTTAGTTTCATTATTAAATCTGTGGTCCTTCTGTCATTTGTTCTTACTTTTGCATCGCTGCCGTTTTATTCAGTAATCAATGCTGTCTGCCTCTACTGTCGCTGAAGATTCTCCGTATTGTATGATGTTGTTCTGAGATCACCTGGTGAAGAGGTGATGGCGAACAACACAGCTAATTGATATTTCCCGCATTGGATGCTCACAGCCGGGCTTGTTGTTTTTTTGCACGCTCAAAACGTGGATATTTTACAAAAATGTTCAGTGGCACGGTGGAGCAGTGTTCAACATTATGTATTTTTTGTACTGTCGTATACACACTGTACTTTTTACTGCTGAGCAATAAAACAATGGGGAAAAAACCCATGGATTACTCTGTTTGTCTGATTTGTTCTGACTAGTTAGCTGCTACCTGTTTGTTGATTACGCAACGCGCACTGTAAACAGTCTTGCCGAGCACAGCACATCCATTGAGGCAGCGAGCTGGATTTTTCTCTTTGTGCACTGGTGCTGCATCTGGTCAAGTGACCTCTGGCTCGGGATGCTGACGTCAGTTCGGTAATCTGTTTACAAGCCTGCTTCACTGCTGAGAGGAAGCTTATTTTAAAGTCAGTGTTATTCACCCATTTGTTGGCTTTGTAGAAAGTCTTTGTAAATTAATTAATGACTAATTGTTTTGCTAGTTTTTTTCAATATCCTTATTTTTGAAAGGAAAACACATTCTAACTTTAACCATCATTACTGATATTTAATATAAAATTGGGGTTAGAAGTTCACACACACACATACACATAGGCATTATTTACTACAGCTGGTACTTTCTCTTGGCCAAATAAAAAGGATTTGTTTGACAGCACTCACTGGTTTGAGCAATACTGAGATTAATGAGAAAGTCCAAAGAACTCGGAGAAACGTTTAAAAGGCGAATTATATATTTACACAACTTGGGACGGTCTCCTGGAGCCAAGTATGTAAGTGCAAGTTATTTGGATGTGTCACAACTTTGCCGAAGTCTGGAAGAAGACCCAAACCGCCATCCTTAGATAAGAGGAAACTGGTTGGGATGTTCAGGAACAACCCATGAACCATCAAAGCACAAGTCTGCCATGAACTGGGAGCTGCTGGAATACCAGCGTCACTGTCCAACCAAGAAAGAAGCCCCTGTTCCAAAATCATCACCCTCACACTTGGCTGAAATTTGCAGCTGCCCTCATGAACAGATAAAGCAAAGATGGAGCTGTTGTCCACAATGGCAAGAATGTATGTTTGGAGGATTAAAGGTGAGGCTTTCAGCTCTTGAGCATGGTGGTGGTAACATCATGCTCCTGGGCTGTTTTGCTACCGGTTGTACTGGATGTTGGGAGTAGTACTACCTCCAAATTCTTCAACTTCACCCCAAACAGCAGTTAAACAGTTGAAACGTGGACACTGTTGAGTGAACCACACATAAAAACTGGTTTTGCAATGGATAAAGCAGGCTAACATTAAGCTTCTGGAATAGCCTCCCCAAAGCCCCAGCCTCAACACTATTAAAATGTGTGGGCTATTTTTAAAAGCCAGGTCTGTGCCAGAAAAGCAATCAATTTAAATGAACCAATTCTGCCAAGAAGAGCAAAGTCAAGCTAACTTTATTCATAAAGGGCTTTAAAACAGCAAGTACTGACCAAAGGGACAATTAAAAATCAGCTCTCACACTCTTGCCAATGAAAAGAGACGGGTTTTCAGAAGTGGAGAGTGAAGAAGCCCGTCTAAGATCCACCACTGTCACAGGCAAAAGCTCTGTTCCTTCTGAGCTTCTGTTGTGTCCTCGGCACACCTAGATAGCTGACCAAAAATCAAGGAATCAATCTCAAATCAAGGGCTCAAAAATATTTAATAACACCTTTTCTGCTTGAATTAAAATAATACAGCTTTTCTTTGCGTTAATGTAAAGAAGTCCAGGTAACAATGGACCACAATCACCCATCTGACTTAATATAAAACAAAAAGTGAGTCACAGGAGGACATTTCTTCTCATCTTTCTCATCCGTTGAGAAGCTGAAATCTTATATCAAGCAAGAATTTGAAAACTTTTAACTAAAATGTTAGAATAAGACACAATGTGACTTTTTTGCAGCTTGTTGTTGGCAACAAATTCAAAATGAGCCAATTTATTTAAAACAAACAAGCAAACTTATAGGTTGATATTTTGTCCTTGCAACATTTTTCATTTTTTAACACAAGCTTGAACTAATTCTGCGTTCTGATTTATTCGTATCTTGAACTGCATCCCAGCTTTTCTTAGTAGTCACATCAAATAGAAACACACAAAAACCTTAAAAAAAAACACTGATGTGAAAGGAAAGGGAACATTTCAAAGCCCCCAAATTACCATAACAATAACTGTAGATATGAATCATACTCATTAATAATTATTCTGCGTAGGCATATCAGAGACCCAGAAACGGTCGTTACTGTTTTCCAGCAGTAGACTGTGTTACCTAATGCAGGCTCAGCACATTAAAAGACTAATCAATTATTCACCGCTCATGTCAGGCCAGCTGAAAACTGTTGGCTAGTTTAGTTTCTGGAGTAAAGGCCTCTTGGGTTTGTCTTTTTTGCCCACCGTAATCTCTTCCTTTTGTTGGTCAGTCTGGTTGGGCTTTGTCTTTTTAAATATGCCAGTGACTGCATGCATTTTGAAGGTAGCACTTAACAAAGCCAGTTGTGTACTTCTTTAGGGCCTGTTTGTTGTTTTGTTGGTTTGTTTGGTTGGAGCCAGTTTGTGTTGTTCTGTGAAGCTGGAATAGCCTCTTTCTTAAAAACACTCTGACAACTTCCAGAACAGTTCTCTTATCTGAATTATCTATAACTAAAAGGGACACGACAACATGTTATCTGCATTCAGGACGTGCTTGAAAATGCAGTCATTTTCAGAACGATTACATCTTCATAACAAAGGAACTGTCATGGTCCCCTCGTCCTCCTGTGCCAACCTCTCTATCTCGCTCTGTCTACGTGGGGGTGTGTGTTTGTAATTCTGCTTGTCGGCTTCAGAGGCTGAGCCTTCTTGTGTGTCCTCTGCTGGCAGGCCACACCTGCAAGCTGTTGAGCAATCACTCACCTGGGTGCAATCTGATGATTACTCAGCGACTACTTAAGGTGGAACAGTTCCCAGAAGAAATTGCTGGGGTGTTGCACTTGCTGTGGTAGTGGGAGCACATGAGGTGCAGCATGGGTGGTGTGTTTGATTCTGTGAGAAATTCAGCTTTATCTTTGAGCTTAAATGATTCTCTGCTGTGCAGATACTCGCTCGCCACATGTAGGGGAAGTCTGTGTGGGAGAAAGTCTCCAGATATCACCCACCTGCTTCACTCAGAAGACACCAAACAATTGACTTTTTTGTGAGTTCAATAAACCTGTTAAACTTTTATTCCTGTATTTGAGTCCAGATCTGGTTTGGTCCTTGACAAAAACACACACTTTTATTTTGTCCAAATTATTATTCTGGAAGAAAAAACAACAACAAAATGTTAAAATATACGATCCATTGTGATGTCGTCCCAGTGGAATCACAGCACTACTTGTTTCATTATTTTATTTTCATTTCTAATTTTGCCACTTTCAATTTTCCAGGAATAAATTGGCCAATCGGTTTATCCAAGCAAGTTATAATTACTATTATGTGGATACAGTACAGCAAAAATATAAACAATTTTTTTATATGATAGAAACCAACCCATACAAGCTATTAGAGCCAAAGACATTATAAGAAAGAGACATGATACCCAAGAAGGATGGAAGGAAGGAAAATACAGCAAGGAGTTGGCATTGAAATTTGGTGGAGGGAAAAAAAAGCTTTTAAACCTTACCATAGAACAAAATCATCAAACTTGTTCAAATTTTATTCCAGATAAAATGCAGATTTTATGTTCTGTTAACCAACTGAATTAAAGCTAATTTGAATGGCGTTCAAAATAATTGCCAAATATTTAACCCGAGCTTTTACCAAGACAGCAGTATTGAGACTTGCTTCTAGAGGACAGGCCTCTGTTTTATGGGTTGCAGACAGTGCAAGTGAGGGTACTGCAAATAAAAGCTGCGCTGGACAGACTTTGTGGGGTGACCAGATCCCACCAAATTAAATGTCGAGCCCTGAGTTTGTTTAAATCATGACATTTTGATATACCTAACTTTAAGAAAAAAAAGAGGTAAACTATTGTGGTTACAGGTTCTACATCACTCAAGTGAAGGACAAATAAAAGCAATTAAAGCGTTTTTTCCAACTATTGTGATGCCACACTCCACCCTGCTTTCCTATTGGCCTGTTTGTGTGGCTGGTCTCATCTGCAGAGGTGGTGTGGCTCATTTCCAGTTGGTGACAATGGTTAAACCAGGGCTCAGTGAGCCATTGTTCTTTATAAACGCCCTCAGTGCTCAGATGCTGTGTGGCTCTCCTCCCTGAGACATCTTTTGGATTTTGGTGCAAATAAACAACATTGCATACATCATTTCTTCACCCATGCACTTATTTACACCAGTGATCGCATTTGTTACACACCTTGTGGTTAGTTTAAGCTCTTTCCTTGCTTCTGGATAACATGCGCTGACATATGAGCCCAGCTCTGCTTTTTATAATTAGGGGAACAGTGGTAAACCTTCCCAGGAGTGAACGCTCTACCAAAATTACTCTAAGAGTACACTGATGACCCATCCAGGAGATTGCAAAAGACGTCTAAAGACCATGCAGCATTCAACAATACAACAATAGTTTTATTCAAGAATAAGAAAGAGACTGGGTATCCATGGGAAAGTCCAAAGGAGAAAACCACTGCTGACCAAAAAAGAACACAAAGAGTCATTTCACGTTTTCCAAAAAAATATGTGGACCAACAAGGCAAAAGCTGAACCTTTTACAAGGTTTTCACCCCGTTGCATCTGGAGTAAAACTAACACAGCATTTCATAAAAAGAAATTCATACCAACAGTCAAACGTGGTGGTGGCAGTGGGATGGTCTGGGACTCCTTGCTTTGGCATGACCTTAAACAGGCTGTTCATGCTGGAAAACCTTCCATTGTAGATAAATTAAAACAACTCTGCAAAAAAGATTTACCCCTCCTTATCTCTGTGATCTGCTTCATATCACCACAGTTTCCCGCTCTCTCAGATCTTCATCTGCCACACCTGCTCGCCTTACCACTATGGGGCACAGAGCTTTCAGTCACTCTGCTCCTTGGCTCTGGAACTCACTTCTTTCAGCCTTAAGAAATATAGATTCCCTTCCCTTGTTTAAGTCACAACTCAAAACCTACTTGTTTAAACTGGCTTACTCGCTTTAATACAGATTTTGCTTGCTGTTTTTGTTGGGGGGGGGGTTATTTTTATTTGTTGTT